CTTTTGTCTACCTTTGTGAGTTGCATGAAGTTTGGCAATTTGAACTGATGTACATGATGATGTTCAAAGTTTTGTGTCGAAACTCAGTCAGTCAGTCACTGGATGACACGAAATCGAACCTCTGAAGCCATAACAATTCCTTCGATGTCACAGGTACTACTCCATACTACAACTAAAACAGGAGTTTGAAAGCCAACTTCATAAGTAGAATAAATAAGTTAGAGATTTCGGATAACTTGATTTTGAAACGTTATTCTTATTCCCCTTAGGTTTTGAATACAACAGCTACAATAGAACATCTCTATAGTTCGATCGGTTCTCTGCAGTCCTCTTTATTCAGCTGACCCCACAATGGATCACACAAGCTATGATCTCCTCTATGTTATCCTTGAAGTGACGCTCAATTCATCGTTTTTCATTCGAGAGATGACCTGGCATACGTCGCTGAATGATCTCCTCATATTATGTCCGCACCATCTTCAATTCCCTCGGGATACTACTTGTTGGACTATGACGTTCTTCGTTGGTTTGTTCTCAAATTTCTTTCTGCTTATCCTTTCTGATTGACCATTTAATCTTTAGTAAGCAGCAGAGGCAACACACTTGATAAAAGTGTTAAGCCTGTTCGTGAAGCTTACAGTGACACACCAAGTCACTAATCTATTGAGAAGCACAGGCTGACTTCACATCTCATTGTTAAAAATCCAAATCTTATTCTTTAATCTGAATGCAGCAGATTCCCTGAGTGATATATCAGAATAATGAATATCATCTGCCTTGCCTTTCCAATTCTGATCTTGACATCCTCATCCATGCAGATTGTGCGCGGTTGAACCAATCAATGCTTCCTAGATTATAGTGAAGAAGGTAACCCCTTTCAAACTTTCCCCCCTTGATAGTAACTGGTGCTGTTTGTTGTTGTTGTTGTTGTTGGTCGGTTATTTTAATCACCTGTCTCTTCTCTATGTTCACCTGGAGTTCTGTCTTCTCTGCCTGCCTCTTCAGCCAGTTTGTTGGTTAGTCGCCTAGAGATCTTCAAGTTTGTGTGAAATTAGGCATAAATCATCCAGGAAGTTCGAATCTCATAGAGACTTCTTGCAGGTCGATTGTATTCCTGAAACATTTGGAACTGCCCAACTTCATCATTCCTTATAGACAAACGGCTCAGGACGCTTGGTTAGAAGTTTCATGGGAATTCTGCCAGTGATCGATAGGAACAGAAGCAGCCAGTTCAACAATCACTACAGCATATAACGTAACCAGATATAACACCCATTAACCCTAAAAAATGATACAAACCTTTTACCCACTGATATGTTGTCATTAACAATACGGGACAAATAAGGTCACTTTCAATGAAACTAAACTCAACACCAGAAATTAGGTGAGGTCTAGGGGCGCAACGGACGGGAATCGAACCCGCACCTATTGTGGTGGCGTGGTTGGAGAGCATTCTACCATTGAGCCTCCGGCGAACCCAAGTGGCCTAGTAGACAATGTCCTGGTGTTTGAAACGAAGGCTACTACTGGGTTGAAGACACAGTGAGAACACTACCCTTCACTGGGAATCGCAGGTACACCTCCAGTCGACGAGTCCCGGATAGCAAACCGTTTGCGACACCAGATATACCTAACAAAATCCCTTGAAGAAACATCAAAGCAATGTAAGCCTACCACAACACAACAAGTGAATTGATTTCCATTATCTAATAGTTCATGATAATAAAAGATGGCACTGCTATCTAACGAAACTAGTAATATGTGTCTTCATAACATTATGTCTAAAGGTTCAACCAATCCTGAGTCAGGATAGAAATGCGATCACTATTGAATGATCCAAAATTAATATAAAATATATACGAAGTGTCTCTACCAGTTTAAGTCTTATCAACTGCCTTTTGAAGTAAACACAGGAGTCAGACAAGGGTGCTTATTATCATCAATGATATTCCTAATTGTGATGGACTGGATTATGCGTCAGACAGTGCATGGAAACGAGAAGACAGGGATATCCCGTCTTGACCGACGTGAAGAACCTAGAAGACCTGGATTTCGCGCGTGGATGATTTATGTTCGATGTCACACAAAATCGAAGACTTACAAGCGAAAACCGACAAACTGGTCGAAGAAGCAGCCAGAGAAGACAGGACTCCAGGTGAACATTGACAAGACGGAGGTTACGAAAATAACCAACCAACAACAACAACAGCAGCAGCAATATCCAGCGCCGATCACCATCAACGGGAAGGATTTGAAAGAGGTTACTTCATTCACTTATCTAGCTAGGGAGCATTGTATCAACTACAGGAGGAACCAACGAGGATGTCAAATCGAGAATCGGGAAGGCGAGAAACACATTCATCAACCTGAAACCAATCTGGAAATCTTCGTCACTCAGCCTGCATCAGCAACAAAATTCGGATTTTCAATACAAACGTCAAGTCAGTCAGTTCTTCTATACGGATGGATCAGAAACTTGGCCAGTGTGTCACAAAGAATATTTCTAACAGCCTGTTGCAGACCTTTATCAACAGCTCTCTCCCTTCTATACTGAAGATCAGATGGCCGGAAAGAATCACCAACAAGAAACTATGGGAACGAACAAAACAAGAAGCAATCGCCCAACAAATATGCAGGAGAAAGTGGAGATGGATTGGACACTCGCTGAGGAGGCCGTTGGGTGACATCGTGCATCAGGCCAATGCTCGAGTGGAACCCGAAAGGGAAGCGGAGAGTGGGACGTCCAAGGGTGACATAGAGGAGATCGTGTGAAGAGGAGTTGAAACAGTATGGACTAACGTGGAAGCAAATGAAAAGTACAGCAGAAGACAGAAGCAAGTGGAGACGTGTAGTTGAAACCCTATGTTCCACTAGGAACCCAAGGGAACAATAAATAATAAAATAATAACTGCCTTTACACTTTGGCAGCTGGAGATTTCATCACAAAAATGGAAGGGTGAATGAAAACATCTGGTTCTTACAACTAGTGGATTAGTGGACAGGCTGGTTGACTTACGGCAGCTAGGAAACCCTGATGATTCAAAACCTTTAGTGTACATGAACCCCTGAAAGCCCAACGGATCGAATAGTATATGAACCTGTTCTCGTCACTGGCAATCATATGAACACACAGCTCCACTACCTTTTGGATCACATTTGAAATCAAAGGCTCAGAGAGTGGGAGGGAGGGCAGGTAGCCCCTTAAGACAACCATCTAATTCAGTCTGGGCGTCCAGGTAGCATGATACTCAAACATACACATACACACACAAACAAAATATCAATTGTTTGCACTTCTGCTTGTGAAAGCTGACTTCTTTTACATCTAACGAGGAGTTTGGGGACATTTTGATGCGACGATAAATGCACTTCTCAACATCGAACAATGAGAAGGACAGTGATGATTAAACGGTATATATCAATTTAAAAGTCAACTGATTTAGCTTAGTAAATACGTTTCAATTTAAATATCGAAATACAAACAAAAGCAACGACACTAAAACGTCTGAGCTCATATATAACAATGTAAACATTTGTCTGTCTGAACAACATAGAGTTCGTAATATAAAAATGGCCAAATGGTTGATAGGTCAACGATCTCGGTCTTGTTACCGGAAGGTCCTGAGGTTTCCATCGTTAGAGGTGCGGTCGTAGGCACGTACTGCTGAAGACACCCAAACTAGGGCGAAATAGCTGCCAAGTACATCCTGATTCAGGATGTTAGAGGTTTCTGTATTTGTGTATCACGGAGGCATTAGCAATTTATCAATATAACCACGAACTGTGTGTATTGCTTCTTATTCTACTATGGTCATATTCTTATTATTGTTTCCTTCAGTTCCCAGAGGAACATAGGGATTCAGCCTCATGTCTGCAATGCGTTCGGTTCTCTGCCAACGTTTTCACCTGGCTACATGTCTGTCCATGTCTGCTCTCATCTCCTATTCGCATGACCTCCTCCATGCCACCCTCGCACTGATGACCAACTCGCCGCTTTCCATTCGAGTTCTACTCGAGCGATGGCCTGGTGTGTGATTTCGCTTGATGGTTTGTTTTCTCAGAGTATGGTCACCAATCCACCTCCATTTCTTCCTGCATATTTGTTTCACAATCGGTTCTTGCTGCGTTGGTTCGTTCATTGACAGGGATCTCTTCGTGTTGCTGACGATTTCTGGCCATCTGATCTTTAGTAGTATTGAGCGAAGACAACTGTTAATGAGGGTCTGTAGTTTGTTTGAAGTGCACTTCGTGACGTGCTGGCCAAGTTTCTGATCCCTGTAGTAACTAGCACTGACTTCACATTGGAGTTGAAAATCCGGATCTTATTTTTCATGGTGAGTAGTGCTGTTGATCTGCACACAGACTTGAGGGTAATGAAAACTTGCCTTGCTTTCCCAATCCTCGCTGCCTTGATATCCTCGTCAAATCCGTCCGCCTGTAGTTGAAACGATGTTTCTCAGGTAGGTCGGTGAAGGTGGTTTCTTTCAGATGTCTCCTATTTATGCTGATTGTTGTTTGTTGTTGTTGTTGCTGTTGGTGTTGGCCAGGAATCTTCATCACCTCTGTTTTCTCTATGTTCACCAGAAGGCTTATCTTTCATGTTTATTTCTCTGTGAACTTGTTGCTTTTCACTTGCATATCTTCCGGTTTGTGGGAAATCAGTAAGTTTCCCGTTGTGGATTACTTGGAATGCACCATTGTCGTACAGCTGTTGGATGAGATGTATTATTGTCGGTGGCACCCCGAGGTAACGAAGTAGTTTCCAAATCACCTCTCAATCGACACTGTCTGCTGAAGGCCTTTTCAAAGTCAATGAAGTTGAGATAGAGAGGTGACTGCCATTCCAAGCTTTGTTCAATGATGATACCCAGTGTGGCAATTTGATCAATACATGACTTGTTTCTCCTGACTCCAGCCTGTTCCAGTCGAAGTTTTTCATCAAGGGTGGCGTGTTTGATTCTCTCCAGGATGATGCGGCTTAGTATTTTGCTTCAGATGGACAGGAGCATAATTCCGCTCCAGTTCTTGCATTCACCCAAGTCTCCTTTCTTTGGTAGTTTGAATAAGTATCCTTTCTTCCAATCCTCAGGTACCATGCCCCCTCTTTCCACACCTTTTCCAGTAGTGAAGTGATCAAGTCCACTGATATCTCTGTGTCCATTTTCAATACCATCTTCTGGGATTCCATCTGGTCCTGCTACTTTTCCAGTTTTAAGCATCTTGATTGCCTTCAGGATTCCTGCACTAGTCGGAGGGTTGATGCCTACTGGTAGTTCTGCTTCCGCTGTTGGTATTATTGGGCGCGTTGTGTGTGGTGGTCGATTTAGGAGTCTTTTGAAGTGTTCAGCCTAGTGTTTCCTTTGCTCCACCTCTTTGGTGATTGACTCTCCATCCTGTCATCCTCCACTGGCTTAATTTGTGTTGAACTTTTCTCCGATAGGTACCTAGTTGTTTGGTAGGTAGAGTATTGGGAGGTCTCCTATGCCTGCACTGCAGCTTGCTCTGCTTCACTCACCATAGTTTCCCTAATCGTTCGCTCTTATGTACGCCTGTGCAATAGACAACAGACAATAAGCGCGCAGTCAAATATAAAACCAGAGAACAAAAAACAACAACACTCACTTGTACAATATTTTCACTAATAAGCTGTGAAAATACATCTGGTACTGACTGATAGATACTTTGTAATAACTGGAGATAACCACGACGTAGAAGTTTTCTTTCTTCACTTAATGTTGGCTGATCTGATGGAAGTGGTTCATTTAAAGCATTCATGATCGCTTCCAATAGACCTGGCAGACACGTTGATAGGAATGGAATACTTTGATTCTACATAAGAGAACAATTACAAAACAGGAATGTGTTAGAGATAGCAGACAGAGTCACTAGAGAGGCTGTATTACCTACTATCTATCTTATACAGAAGGAACACATCAGAGGCCTTACGTAGGACTCTCAATGAGGCTTGAATCAAGGTGGTATTTAAACCAACCATCCAATTAATCTCCTCCAGGATAATGACAGCCAGGTTCAACTCAAAAGGAAGGAAGGTTACAATCATTCAATGCTATGCGCCTACAAACGTCTCATAACAAGAGAAGAAGGAGGCCTTCTAAAGACAACTACAAGCAGTAATGGACAACGTCCCAAATGGCGATATCAAAATCCTGATGGGTGATATGAATGTGAAACTGGGAGGAGACAATACAGGAAGAGAACTCACCATGGGTCATGAGGCCCTCGTTGAAATGAACGAAAATGGTGAACTCTTCTCAGAATTCTGCGCCTTCAATGATTTGGTGATTGGTGGCAGTGTGTTCAAACACAAGGATATACACAGGGCGACATGGATTTCATCAAATGGACACACCAAAAACCAGATAGACTTCATCTCAACACTGCTCAAGGAAGTGGAGACGGAGCCTATTGGACACAAGATCGAGGAGCAGATGTGGGTTCAGACCACACTATCTAGTACAACGGACTTTCAAGGTGAAGCTGAAAGCCTCGAGGATAGCTGAGGATAGGCCACGATGCAAGTTCAACACGTAAAAACTGAAGAACACAACCACAAAGAACACTCTCACTGCAACTGTCAAAGCAAAGCAAGAAACACTAGGTGGCATCACTGAGAAATCATCCGTGGAAGACCATTGGAACTCTCTGAAGGTGATTTTCAACGAAATGTGTTCAACGGTTTTAGGAAGAAAGAAGAAACAAGACAAGGAATGGATCTCAACGGACACTTGGAAGCTAATAGAGGAGAGGAGAATGGTGAAAGAGAAAATGATTCAATGCAAAGATGGACAAGAGAAAGAGACGCTGAGCTCAACTTACACAGCACTGGACAAAGAAGTGAAGAAGAGTGCCAGGAAGGACAAAAGATAATTCTACGACAACCTGGCCACTGAAGCTGAGAAGGCAGCAAGGGAACAATAATAATAACCAACCAGTTCAATCAAAAATAAACTTTGTCAGTTTAAAGATCCGATAGATCCAATGAAGAAAAATAATATAATTTAAAAAATACCATGCTATGACTCTGAGATCAACTACACACACACACACACACACACACACACAGAGAGAGAGAGAGAGAGAGTTCAAACTAATAGATCAGGGTCAATCAGATTATTGGAATGTAGAAATTTAGCTAAACCTAGAATGACTGACCTTAATAAGTTAAATAACTTAGAAAAAAACAGAGCTCAGCCACTGCAGTGTTTTCACTTGCATGTAACCACACAATACGGTGGGACAGGGTGACAACATTAAAAAGTAATACAGTTGGGTAGAGAAAGGGTAGAAAGAGGTTAATCACTCAATCTTTGTTTATCGATTCAACACCGCACATGTGCAATTAAAATGACTCAACGCCTATACCGGAGATATGGAAACTGGCAGGGAATCCGTGTGGATCACATCATAAGATATTGAGCAATAAATTGTGCTTGTGACGTCATCCAGTTAATAATACTGCATGACTGTGTGATATTTGAAATAAATTTATCTAATATGGAATTACAGAGAATTTTAGCTTGAATGTGAAACATTCGATCGTATCAGGTTCCGAGTTATATGCGATGGACAGTTGTTCATCACACTGAAATCCGTAGTAACGCTCACAAAAAACCGTCAGATGATGAGTGTTAAATCAACTTGCATTATAGCTGACACAACTATGCTTTACAATAAAGAAACAGAGCATTCAATAGTTTAGGTTATAAAACATCAAAAGCTGAGTCTGAAACTAAGGTTGTGGTGAAAGCTGGCTGCTAGTCAAAGTTGGTAGACAGTAATTCACGTCAATGTTTGTCCCCAATATTGGTGGTGAGAAAATGAGAACAAATGCTTTGCGTAGGCGAATACAGTTAGCATATGGATGATCTGACACAGCCACAAAGAGATGCAAGGTTAACTTTCTGTGAGAAACAACCAATCAAAAGACTGTATTTTCTACTAACAATAATCTACAATGATGTACATTGAAATCTATAAATATGTGTTGATTTTCCTTAATAAATGATCTGTTGCCTGGGCCTTGTCTTGTTGTTACAAGGTTACTGGATTCGAGCCCTAATGAGAACACCATCACTCACTCCCTCACTGGAGAGGGGAAGCAGATACATCCAGTTGACGGGTCCCAGATAGAACGAGATGCGGCACGCCTCAGAACCCACTGATAGTTGTTACCATCTACTAAATTACTTCAAGTCAGTCCTCAAGCATCGCCAAAGCATCCGCGCACAAGCACCAGCGACATGTGAACCAACAGAGGTCGAACATTTAAGTAAAATCAATTAACGGGGAAACAGAAATTGAATAGACAATAAACATTAGCTGGATAATATATATATGTTGATGTATCTGCACTCACTTTGTAAGTGTAATAAGATGAGCGGCGCCAAAAAAATTTTTAAAAAATAACTATGCAATATCTTTTCTTGAATGCTGAATACCTTTTTTCTGCTCTAAGTAAATCAACACTCACTGGAATTAAAACAATTGATCGCTTTAATATATATTTAGATATGGGGTTATTGTATGCCTTTTCTTTGTTTAACCATTGTTCTGTATAAAGCTTCATTTGTTCTATATGTGGAAGATTAATGCATTGCCTTGAAGAGGGGCGGGGGGGGGGGGTAGGTATGAAATGGAAGTGTCCCAACTCAAATCTCCACCTACATTCATGTAGACAATCAACCAATCAATTAGAGTATTGCTAGCCTCCTGTCTCTGAGTGTAACTTAAAACTTAGTGGAGGATGACAATGGAAAGTCACTCACCAAAGAAGTGAAGCAAAGGAGACACTGGGCTGAACACTTCAAAAAACTTCTAAATCGACCACCACCTGCAACACGCCCAATAATACCAACAGCGGAAGCAGAACTACCAGTGGGCGTCAATCCTCCGACAAGTGCAGGAATCCTGAAGGCAATCAAGATGCTTAAAACTGGAAAAGCAGCAGGACCAGATGGAATCCCAGCAGAAGAATTGAAAATGGATCCAGAGACAACAGCGGACTTGATGACACCACTACTGGAGAAGGTGTGGAAAGAAAGCAAAGTACCCGAGGATTGGAAGAAAGGCTACTTATTCAAACTACCAAAGAAAGGAGACTTGGGTGAATGCAAGAACTGGCGCGGAATTATGCACCTATCCATCCCAAGCAAAATACTAAGCCACATCATCGTGAAGAGAATCAAACACGCCACGCTGGATGAAAAACTTCGACCGAAACGGGCTGGATTCAGGAGAAACAAGTCATGTGTCGATCAAATCGCCACACTAAGGATCATCATTGAACAAAGCTTGGAATGGCACTCACCTCTGTATCTCAACTCCATCGACTTTGAAAAGGCCTTCAATAGACAGTGTCGATCGAGAGCTGATTTGGCAACTACTTCGCTACTACGGGGTGCCACAGACAATTATACATCTCATCCAACAGCAGTACGACAATGGTGCATTCCAAGTAATCCACAACGAGAAACTTACGGAATCCTTCGAAGTGAGGACAGGAGTATAACAAGCTGGTTGCCTAATATCGCCAATGATTTTCCTAATTGCAGTAGATTGGATAATGCGACAAACAGCGGGTCGGGCAATGAAGAAACAGGCATAAAATGAACCCACACAAAAACACTTGGAGGATCTGAATTTCGCCGATAACGCATATATATGTCTGATTTCCCACAAACTGGAAGATATGCAAGCGAAAGGCGACAAGTTGGCAAAAGAAACATCCAGAGAAGAGAGGACTTCAGGTAAACATAGAGAAAACAGAGGTGACGAAGATTCCTGGGCAACACCACCAACAGCAACAACAACAACAGACAACAATCAGCATAAATGGAATGAACCTAAAAGAAACAACCTCCTCTACATACCTACCTGGGAAGCATCGTTTCAACTACAGGCGGAACTGACGAGTATATCAAAGCAGAGAGGATCGCGAAAGCAAGACAAGCTTTCACTACTCTCAAGTCTGTGTGGAGGTCAACAACACTCAGCATCAAAACGAAGATAAGATCCAGATTTTCAACTCCGATGTGAAATCAGTGCTACTATACAGATCAGAGACTTGCACTGCGCTTCATAAAGAGCATCTCAAACAAACTACAGACCTTCATCAACAGTTGTCTTCGCTCAATACTCAAGATTAGATGACCGGTCAGAAAAGATCAGCAACAGAGGCCTCTGGCAATGAGCGAACCAACCCAGCAGGAACCGATTGTGAAACAAATAGGCGGGAAGAAATGGAGATGGATTAGTAGCCATACTCTGAGGAAAAAAACCATCAAGTGACATCACTAGACAAGCCATTGCTCGAGTGGAACCCGAAAGGGAAGCGACGAGTTGGTCGTCAGTGCAATGGTGACTTGGAGGAGGTCATGTGAAGAGGAGATGAAAACGTGTGTGGGCAGACTCGGAGCCAGGTGAAGACTCTAGCAGAGAACCGAACGCAATGGAGATGCACGGCTGAAGCCCTATGTTTCTCTAGCGATTAAAGGAAACAATAATAATAATGATAAAAAATTAGCGTTGACAAATAATTACAAAACATTTCAAAAAAAAATAATCTACTATCGCATACCTTATATCTGAGTAGTACTTGTGTAACAAGTGGTATAACATCTCTGATTTCTTTCCAACGTTGTTCAGCATCCACCATAATATCCGATAACTGATGACTACCACCACCATTATAACATGAGCTTGTAGTAGATCGTAATGGTTTAACCAGTTGAGGTACAGCGTCTACAAGTGCAGCTAATAGCATATCCGAAGTTACAGAGCTGTTGGTGTTCCCAGATTCACCTGGCGCGGATGATGATGATAGTGATGGTGATGACGACGATGGCATAATACAAGCCACCATACGATGAAGGAAAGCACGAACTCCAGCACAAGCAGCTTGTCGTCCTGGACTAGCCGCTTCTGTAGGAAAACGTGACAACTCTGAAATGATAAGTCGCATTGCATCGATTAAGACAGCTTCACAACCTGAAGTGATAACTGATTTTGGCTGAGAAAACACTTTGGTGGTTCTTCTACAACAACAACAAAAAGAAAAAAGGAAACATGACAAGAAAATGAACAACGTTTAAAGGAGGTGAAAGTCGCGCGCGAATATACAGTGAAGTGACTAACGCTACCAAATAAGTGAATAAAAACCCCCCTTTATGCTGCTAAAGAACAAGAACTTAGGAGGATCCAAACTTTGATAATCACCACTTCTGTCTGTCTGTCTGTTTTCAACATAGAACTTTGCACATATGTGCACCAGTTGAAGTCGCCACACTCCCTCCATTTAGCACACAAAGCAAGAGAAGATAGGAGAAATGCATAATAGAGACAGTAAACAGAGGTGTGAGACAAAGGAATAGTAATAACGAAGAACAAAACAGTTTAATTGGAAATCATAAGTCACAAGGAGTGGATGTATCTGCACTAGCCATTGAGAAAGATCTTGAGCCATGTCACCAATTGTTTCCAACCATTGGTTTTTACCGTCCCGAGGACCCCAACCAGTCAGGAAGCCTCCACCTTCCTACGTGGCTGGCTTAAACTAACTGTTGTGGATTTCATTGACTGATGAAACCATTTTGGTTTGACCGTCGCTAGATGTTTTCCAGTCTAACTCTATGCCAGTTAACATTGCCCGTCAGTCGAGGAAGGCGATGGCTAGTCATGCACACGTAACCATCTCAGTCGATGTAGCTTCACAGTCTCGTCGATTGATTTGCCACACCCCCCCTCCTAACTTAGCACTCGACGAAGCCTAACCTCAATATTGCTCACCTTATTATACCACTTCACACGGGAGATACAACGCAGACACCTATGATCAAAGACCGCTAATCTTTCCATGTCTTCCACTCTTAATAGCCAGGTCTCACAGCCAGCCATAATGGAGGATGGAGCAGTACACACGCCATTTGGTCGATAGCCAGCCGGATATCACGTCTACGCCACGGACGGCGTAAACTGGCATATTCGAAACTAGCCCTCTGTATCCGTGCTGAGATTTCGTCAGCCATCAACCTGTTGGCACTGGCTGAAGGTATTTCCCAAATAAGTGAAGTGGTCAACGTGCTCTACCACTTCACTCCTTATTTCTAATCTAGGAGCGAATCGCATGCCAAACATTCGTAGGTTGCAGCTCAAGGTGTTCACAAGACTTTGCACTTTGTCAGCATCCTCGCCTAGAAGGACATCATCTGCATATAGACAATACTAGACCAGTCATATAATAAGTAAGGAAAGAAAGACAGTAAAGTTGAAGACTTCAAACAGTAGACACACTTTCTTCCTTACAGCATGTCAATAAAAAAATACCTCGTAATCAAACCAACACTTGATCATTAGTGCCTGATACTCAATAGCGACTGGCTTTATTATATACAAGAAGTTACCTGGAGTTCTAGTGAAAAGTCGTAACCACCAGCTGGGTCCACCACCAAGTCAGGTAAGACAACAACAATCACTCGTCTATGGACATTGCCTGGCGATTGTACTATACACATATATATCACAAAATGGCAGAAATTGGAATTCATGAGCCAGTGAATCCTGTCCAAGTGGTTGAAAGGTCTATCAGCTCACCTTGTGAACTGAAGGCCCCGAGTACGAACCCCCCCCAGTGGATGAGTACTGTCGAAGAGTGGCTGACGAAACAGCTCTCTCCAGTACTCTCCAATGGTTCTCTAAGTGATGTCGGTTGGCGACTAAATGCGTAACCAATCAAATCCCTGCATACTAACTATTGAGTTTACAATAGACACACGCACACAAACACATAATAATCTAATAGTGGTCTGCTGTTCAAAACAACATCATATATTAAGCTGGCTGGCTGGCTGGATTCAACATAGAACTTGACACCGAAGTGCACCACTTCGAGTTGCCACGTTCCAAATAACACACAAAGGTAGGCAAGAAAATGAGTGAAGGGAATCAATAGAATTTTCACAAGCATAAGAGTGAAACAGAATGAGTAATGGTAGAAACCAATATGAAAGATTACAGAGACTGAATACATCTGCGCTAGCCATTGACAACGATTTTCAGCCATGTCACCTATTGTCTCCAGCCTTCATTGATTCTTAGAGTCCCGAGGGCGGGCCCCAACCCGGAAGTCTGCATCTCCCTACCTGACTCAGTTTAACTGTCAAGGATTTGATGGATTGATGAGGCCATGTTTTTGTTTGACCACCACTTACTCTTTTCCAACCTGCACCTATATCAGCTAGTAATGCCCGTCCGTCGGGGGGAGGCGATGGTTGCACGTGACCTAACCATCTCAATCTATGTAACTTTATAGCCTCTTCGATTGATTTTCCCTCTTTGCCCAACACTCTACGCCTACCCGACCGAAAGCTGCTACCTTGACATGGTGGTCGGGCTTGAACACCGCAATGACCCAACAAGCTATACTGGCTGGAACTTATGTTCCTGCAGGTCCTACCATGCCAGAAAGGTTGTTTGGATAGTGGTTAGACAAAAAGCAGCTACTTAACCCAATCCTATGACTCCAAATAAATCACAAAATATCATGCCGGATCGGTCGGGGCCCGGATTAACAAGGACCGCGCTTCCTGCTGCCGTGTCACAGGGCAGAAGTGATAAATATGCTACTGAGATACACCAAATGAAAAACAACAAACATAAACAGGCCGTGTGTGACCGACCTCAAGCAGTTGTCCCCTGGGCTCTGCGGTCACGAAACCAACTTCCACGGTGTGGGCAGCCGGGAAATAACAATCGCCCTCACAATCCGAAGTACACGCGAAACCTCTCTAATCCTCACTCATATATTAAGCAGGATAAAAGTGTTATAAAAATAAAATAGTCAACACTCACGTGATAAGATCAGTGACTTGCTTAACTAGCACTCCGCGTACTTCAGCTAATTTCGGATTTTGTTCCGTGATATACTTTGTAACAAATTGATCATATTGAATCATAACAGGTGTGAGGAGAACACGAAACAATTGTCCAATACGATCACCGTCATCTGAGACATTCCCACCAACGCCACTGCCACCGCCACCGCCACCTGCAATAAGCTGTGCTGCTGCTTCATAGAGAAAACCTTGTTCTGTTATGCCTAAACCAGTCTGGTTAACAGATGACTTGTTGTTGATATGTCCATTCATAAAAGAAGAAGTAGAAGAAGCAGAAGTATGTCCATTGACCACTACTACTTCACCGTTTAAAAGATTACAGTCTGTTGGTTCAAGAGATAATTCGAGTAAGTCGGACAATCGGGAAAGATATTCTTCTGTATGCGGAAGCAGTGTTTTTCTATTCATTATTTTGAAGGGGGAAAGAAACATTAGGACAAAGAAAACAGATCAAATGCAGTGTCAGGGAAAAATAGATTAAATGGATAAATAAATAAATAACGAAATTTTTTTAAAAAGAATGGACACGGAACAAAGAGTACTCTTTTCGATAAATTCATCATTAGTCTCTACAGTTGTATATACATTATAATGAATGAATGAATGAATTAGTCTTATGAACGACATTAATGTCGTTGTTTAAATAACATCAAATCAATAATATTGGTAAATTACAGCTGAACAGCATCAACATAACAACATGAACTGAATGTCAGAAGAATTAGGAAAGGTAATAGTACAAATTCATGAGTTTATAGTCTCTACTGAGGGCCAGGGCAGTAGTAGGGGCTGGACTTGTTTCTTTTGGACACAGAGCACTGGTTGTTTGAGGCGAATTGCAATAACCTCTGCTGTTTGGTTCATGCGGTGCTTCGACGATTTTGGTAGTATGTTAGGCACCCGGTATATTATAGAGAAGGATTCTTCCACGCTGACTTTGTGACCGGTTTGCACCAGATGATACTTTAATCGAAAATGGTTATCCTGACAAATTTATCAAGAAACATATGGCAAAGAAAACCGAAAAGGACTACCCACTATCTGTAAACAAGAAGCCACTTTATATACGACTGCAATTCATGGGCGATATACCAAGTGAGTTAATTACGAAGAAATTAAGAAAATCAGTTCAAAGGACTTTTAATGCTGGCGAACTACACATCTTATTCTCTACAAGACCGATGGTGCTACCTCGACTGAAAGATGAAGTACCTAGACTGGCCACTTCAAATTGTATTTATCAATTCAACTGCGCTTGTGGAGCGAGTTATGTTGGCCGTTGCTCTAGGAACTTGATTTTTCGTGCTCGAGAACATATCCCACTATGGCTAAGCAAAGGTGTAGTTAAAAGTATTAACAGCTCCATATTAGACCATCTGGTGCAAACCGGTCACAAAGCCAGCGTAGAACAATCCTTCTCTATAATATACCGGGTGCCTAACATACTACCAAAATCGTCGAAGCACCGCATGAACCAAACAGCAGAGGTTATTGCAATTCGCCTCAAACAACCAGTGCTCTGTGTCCAAAAGAAACAAGTCCAGCCCCTACTACTGCCCTGGCCCTCAGTAGAGACTATAAACTCATGAATTTGTACTATTACCTTTCCTAATTCTTCTGACATTCAGTTCATGTTGTTATGTTGATGCTGTTCAGCTGTAATTTACCAATATTATTGATTTGATGTTATTTAAACAACGACATTAATGTCGTTCATAAGACTAATTCATTCATTCATTCATTATAATGTATATACAACTGTAGAGACTAATGATGAATTTATCGAAAAGAGTACTCTGTGTTCCGTGTCTATTCTTTTTAAAAAATAACGGAAATATAAATAAACAAGAAAATTGAATTTTAATTAGACGATGAGTTATACGTGTTGTGTTGACTGAACTCAGTTTATATAAGGAACACGCCTTATCACGAACCCGGGGCTAAAAGCCACACTTACTGCATGAAGTCGACAAATAACCTTCTTTTACGTTAGCTCTAATTGCGTATACAAATTTATATGTATCTGAGGTCAGAGAGAAGGGCATACCACTGCACTGAATCATGAAAACATGTACCAAAAAGCCTACACGTCTGTCTCAAGGGAGTAAACGCTTCGAATAGTGCCAATACCAGATATCTTGTTGAAACGACACGCGTCTACAACCCGATTTATGTGTTATGTTATCATCGGTCTTTCCCTTGCTGTAGGGTAACTGGATGCTCTCCTTTTACACTCTCCTTTTTAATTTTGCTTGTTTCTTGTTTCTAGGGTTTGGGTTGAACTCACCACCAAGCTGTTAGTCAACTTATCATTTACTCATTAAGTCATCCCTCTCTTGTGTTTATTGCACAACACTCTTTTAGGCATTGTTTCCTATCACTTACTTCTTTTGTTTTGAACGTGAACCTTCTGTGTATTAGTTATATTGTGGTGAGAGCTATCTGCTAGCCAAAATTGTAGACAACAATTCACGTCTATGTTTACGTCTCAAATCGCGGTCATGAGAAAAAACAAGAACAAGGCCTCACCTTGAGGAACTCAGCAACCAATCACAGCAGAAGTAGCGTTACATTTGGTGTCACTGCCTGCCAACAAATGGAAAGTCTATGCCCTGCAGTTTTTGATGGAGACATATGGATCTTCGGGCAGGACTTCGAGGCTGTTGCGCAGTTGAGTAGCGTTCAAGATCCGTCAGCGATGAGGCTGTTACCTGGAACGCTGCTGCGAGGTCGGGCGAATATAGCATGTGAAAGCATGAGGCGAAACCCCGACGAATACTCGCCAGGGTCAGGAAAACAGCTTCCAAAGTGGGAAGGATCACACACATGGTCACTGTGAGACGGAGTCACACAGATACGGTCGCAAATGCAAGCAAAGAGAAACAGGTGAATGTCGGGGAGCGCTAGAATTCCAGACAGCAAGACAAATGAACAAAGCCACCAGAACCAAGAAGATCGAACAAACTTCATTCGAAAGTCTTTGACGGGGGGGACGAGTGTGGTGAGGGATGTCTGCAAGCCGAAACTGTGGACAACAATTCACGTCTATGTCTACATCCCGAATCGGGGTCATGAGAAAAAACAAGAACAAGGCCTAATCTTGAGGGACTCAACAACCAATCACAGTAGACTTAGCGTGGGCGGATACGATTCGCAGATGTATCACCGAACTGTCTAAGAAACGGACGGCAACAAAGAGATGGCAGAATAACCTTCAGCAAGAAAACAACCAATCAGAAGACGTTGCTTCTCTGTTAATTAATAACCGATAATAATGTACACTAGAATCTATAAATATCTTTTGATTTTCTCAATAAACAATCTGTTGCCTGGCCCTTGTCTTCCGTCGTCACGATACGAGTGTTATTTCTGAGCACTAATTATTAAGTTTGGAGTCTTCTGTTAAAAGATATCATGTAACATTTTCAAGTACATTAAAATTCTTCTGTTTTTTTATTCCTTCACGTTCCCAGTGGAACATAGGGGGCTTCAAGCTAGAGGCTGTACAGTTTCTGTAGCAGGGTTTATTTTACAAGATGGAGTTGCTAGCCTCATGCCCAACCTTTCCTCTTCACCAGCTTTTGTTCTGGCCTAGCGAGGTAGAGGAGTGCGTCGGCCAGGGATCGAAACCCGGACCATGTGCATGGTCGGCGAGCGTCCCAACCGCTATGCTACCGACGCATAAAATCCCTCTGTGCGTCAAGTTAATTCATTTATTTAGGTTGTGCGCATCTGATGAGAAGCCAATGATATCGTTATGACCAGAACTACGACCTAGTAGAGGACTATGAGTAAATATTAACTTAATGCTCCGGCTAATCTGTCCTAATAGCACATCAACAAGAATAATACTAATAATAATAACAGAGCAGGTACGCAAAAACAAACGAAAAGACTGGACGTCGATAAGAGAGCTTCTACTGTATTAAACAACAGTCAAAAAGCTGGACAGAAACTATATATATATACGGTTAGAATGACCCTGAAAATGCAGTAATTCAGTGATGCACTAAAAGTATTAACAGCTAATAGGAATCCAGCAATCCAAACAGAGGGAAAAACAAATAGCTCACAACAATGCGCGATAACTCCTTAAATAGTTATTTTAAGGTTTTAGACAAAACTAGGTGTATAATCAGAAAGCGGAATAAGTGTTATGAATCTACTATATGAACACTGAAACTGCACATGGTCGGGGGTTCGATCCACGGCCGACGTACTTCTTTACCTCGCTAAGCCAGAACTAAAGCTGGTAAAGAGGAAAGGTTGGGCATGAGGCTAGCAACCTCATCATGTAAAAATAAACACTGCTCTAGGAACTTCGAGCTTTTAGCTTGAAGCCCTGTTCCACTGAAAACGTGAAGGAATAAAGAACAACTAGGCTGCCTAATGTGAAGTAGGATGTGACTCGGCCTTGGGATTCGAACCCAGGGCCGGTCGATTAGAAGTAGGATGGATACGAATGCCTAACAACTCCTAGGCAAAACAACGATAGTGAAAATTCTGTGAAAATTTTAAAATTACAAATTAGTATACTCATGAGACTATATACTACTCATTGAATGAGATGAGTAGTTGTATAACACCCACACACACATTAACCAGTATTCCTTGTTAACAAGTTTGACTCAGCTCCTCATCAGAGAGCCGAATCAGTCTATCGCCTTGGGCGGACTACTGGTAAGACTTCAGATCAAATTTGAAATTTTCAAATTGGCTAACAATCTGCAATTTAAACCACTTAAGAGGGGAGGTGAAATTTCACCTCATCTTGTGGTTTTAGTTGATTCGATTGTTTGAGCTTACTCAAATCAGGTAACGCCATTGATATGAGCTTAAGCTAAAAGTGAGAGAGAAACAGCCATCCGGTGTTTAGATCATATCAATCTGGGTATCTCTAACCCGCACTACTGATCAATATGAATGGCCTATAACTACACCGGCAATTATACATCTCATCCAACAGCTGTACGACAATGCTGCAGGCCAAGTAATCAACAATGGGAAACACACGGAATCCTTCGAAGTGAGGACAGGCGTAAGACAAGGCTGGCTGCCTACTATCGCCAATGATTTTCCTGATTGCAGTAGATTGGATAATGCGACAGATAGACAGTGGGCAATGAGGAAACAGGCATAAAATGGACTCACACAAAAACTTGGAGGATTTGGACTTCGCCGATAACATATATGTCTGATTTCCAACAAACCGGAAGATATGCAAATGAAAAGCAACAAGTTGGCGGAAGAAGCATCAAGGATAGGACTTCAGGTGAACATAGAGAAAACAGATGTGGTGACGCAGATTCCTGGTCAACAGTAACAGCAACAACAACAACAGGCAACAATCAGCATAAATAGGAGAAATCTGGAAGAAACCACCTTCACTTACCTACCTGGGAAGCATCGTTTCAACTACAGGCGGACGGAACTGATGAGGATATCAAGACAGCGAGGATTGGGAAAGCAAAGCAAGTTTTCACTACTCTCAAGTCTGTGTCGAGGTCAACAGCACTCAACATCAAAAATAACGTCCGGATTTTCAACTCCAATCTGAAGTCAGTGCTACTTACCATACGGATCAGAGACTTGGCCAACGCGCCATAAACACCATCTCAAACAAACTACAAACCTTCATTAACAGTTGTCTTCGCTCAATACTACTCAAGATCAGATGGCCGGTCAGAAAAGATCAGCAACAGCGAGGGATCTCTGGCAATGAGCGAACCAACACAGCAGGAACCGATTGCGAAACAAATAGGCAGGAAGAAATGGAGATGGATTGGTGGCCATACTCTGAGAAAACAAACCAACAAGTGACATCACAAGACAGGCCATTGCTCGAGTGGAACCCGAAAGGGAAGCGGCGAGTTGGTCGTCAGTGCAAGGGAGACTTGGAAGAGGAGGTCATGTGAAGAGGAGATGAAAACGTGTGGGCAGACTTGGAGCCAGGTGAAGACTCCAGCAGAGAACCGAACGCAATGGAGACGCACGGCTGAAGCCCTATGTTTCTCTAGCAATTAAACGAAACAATAATAATAACTACACATCTCAATCAGCAAGTGGCATATAGTTCTGTGAAAACCAACATCCTATTTTGTATGAAGGTCTATAATGCTCTCTGCCTTTCATCAGATGAACAACTCTGAATTCGAAAATATAAAATTCCACTAGAGTTTAGAAGTGAATGCATAAGTCTATAAAGCCATAGGCTTATCAAAAAAATGCATAGCATGGAGTAAAGAAGCAATGAAAGCGGTGTGTATCTTAGACAAAGCCACTGTGACTACTTTGTTTGAACACGAGGTAGTGCCTAGTCCTTCAATATTTAGTGCAGACTGAATTCTATCACAGTCCAGTTTGCATGCAATCTGGCCGCCATCATGTTAGGTGATGATGTGTTGCTCGCAATCACAGTGCACTGTGAGAATTGTTGCCAGACGGTTGGCGTCAATCGGAAGGAAGACTTGCAGCTAGGATTTCGTGTTTTTGGACACTCGTCAACAAGGCATATCCACAAACTGTTATGTAATGTCCTTTTGAAGATTCAAAATCCATATCATCCAGTGTGCTGCAGTGAGAAACGTTATTATTATTATTGTTCCCTTGGGTTCCTAGTGGAGCATAGGGCTTCAACTGCACATCTTCACTTGCTTCTGTATTCTGCTGTACTTTTCACCTGCATCCATGTTAGTCTATACTGTTTCAACTCCTCTTCACACAATCTCCTCCATGTCACCCTAGCACTGACATCCCACTCGCCGCTTCCCTTTCGGATTCCACTCGAGCAATGGCCTGACGCGTGATGTCACCCAGTGGCCTCCTCAGCGAGTGCCCGATCCATCTCCACTTTCTCCTGCATATTCGTTGGCCGATTGATTCTTGTTTTGTTTGTTCCCATAGTTTCTTGTCGGTTCTTGTTCTTTCCAGCCATCTGATGTTCAGTATAGAGCAAAGACAGTTGTTGATAAAGGTCTGCAACAGGCTGTTGGAAATATTCTTTGTGACCCGCCAAGTTTCTGATCCGTATAGAAGAACGGTAGCTAATCATCAATAACTATACTAGAAAACTATACCTATCACTTTTTCTATAATTATTGAATAATGAAATTTATCCAAAGAAGACTTACCTGTGAGATTTGATAATACGACTAATTAAATAAGCACAGCGTACTCGAACACTACTGCATGGATGATGTAAGCCACGTTCGTCAACAAAAGCATTCTACAAGTGTACAAGAAATACGAAAAAGAGGATATGAAATTTTTTTTAAAATAACAAGAGGTTTCATACTGAGAGGTAATCACATCACATTATTGCTTTTATTACCCTAATGTTGTATATTATATGAGCATTTGTTTGAACTCAACAGGAACACACATGCAGAGTCTCCTGAACACCTTGACCAGCAATCTTCGTATGTTTGACATGCGATTCACCCCTGTAAAATGTAAGATGCTGCTACAGGACTGACTGGACTACGTCAACTCCTAGCTTAGTGATAGTGATAGGGAGTGAAGTGATAGAACATGTTGACCACTTCACCTATTGGGAAAGTTGTATCAGCATCAACGGATTGATTCGTGACGAAATCTCAGCACGGATCCAAAATGCTCGAGCTGCTTTCGCTAACTTACACCATCTCTAGCGTAGGCGTGACATCCGGCTATCAACCAAGGGACGTGTGTACCACTCAGAAGTTCGCTCCTTCCTTCTCTATGCCTCTGAAACATGGCCAATACGAGTTGAAGACATGAAAAGGTTGACTGTTCTTGATCATAGATGTCTACGATCTCTTTCTCACGTTAGGTGGCATAATAAGGTAAGTAATGTTGACGTTAGGCGTAGAGTGTTGGTTGTGCAAAGAGGGAAAATCAATCGAAGAGGCTATAAAGTTCCATAGATTGAGATGGCTAGGTCACGTGCTGCTCATGCCAAACCATCGCCTCCCTGCCCCTGACGGACGGGCATTACTAGCTGATATAGGTGCAGGTTGGAAAAGAGTAAGTGGTGGTCAAACAAAAACATGGCCTCATCAATCCATCAAATCCTTGACAGTTAAACTGAGTCAGGTAGGGAGATGCAGACTTCCGGGTTGGGGCCCGCCCTCGGGACTCTAAGAATCAATGAAGGCTGGAGACAATAGGTGACATGGCTCAAAATCGTTGTCAATGGCTTACGCAGATGTATTCAGTCTCTGTAATCTTCAGTCTCATATTCCTTTCAACCATTACTCATTCTGTTTCACTCTTATACTTGTGAAAACTCTATTGATTCTCTTCACTCATCTTCTTATCTGCCTTTGTGTGCTATTTGGAACGTGGTAACTCGAACTGCTGCACTTCGGTGCCAAGTTCTATGTTGAATCCAGACCAGACCAGAGGAACACACATTCCTGTAATAAAAGGTAGAATACCTAGAACTATATTTGAAACAGACAGAGAATACAAGCCAACACAATAACTTTATCGAATATTGTGTGCAGACCAAAAGATTCAACAGCATAAGAAGAGAAGATCAATCACCATTTGTAAACTAAATTGCGATGAACACTGCACTGACCGAAGTGAGTGTCCCTTGTAGAATTAAATTTGTCTACAGATCTTAGTTCGCACTATCACTACTGACACTACACTCACAGAGAGTCTAGGTTTTGCCGGCGGTGACATTAACATAAACTTTATCTGTTTCTGAAATATTAAGGAAATGAGCACTGTTCACCAGTTCGCTCCGTCCTCCTTTATGGCTGTCGGTGCAACATGGCTATTGAGAGTGGGAGACATGAAAAGCCTGGCTAGCTGTCTTTCATCATAGGTGCCTATTCGTGTGAAGTGGTATAATAGGGTGAGCAATATTGAGACTCATGCATGCATGACTAACCATCGCCTTCCTCGACGGGCAATGTTATCTGACTGACATAGGGTCAGGTTGGAAAAGAGCTAGTGTTGGTCAAGCCAAAACATGGTTTCATCAGTCAATTAAATCTACAACAGTTAGTTTAAACCACATAAGAAGGTGCAGACTTCCTGACTGGTTGGGGTCATTGTAAAGTAGTCTGGAAAGGTGGCTCCTCATTGGCTGTAGCACTCAGTTTTCAGCCGATGGGACATTTAGATAAATTATAAAGCCTTGAATGCTCTCATACTGGGCATTTACCAAAAAAGTTGGATCCCAAGAGCTGAACTGACCCTATACAACCGAAACACCCCGCATTCGAGCCCCGGTGGGTGTGCACTGACGTTTAAAGGTCCCGCGAAATAGGGCGGAACAGCTATCCAGTACTCTTCAGTTTTAGAGGTGTTCGTAAAACATTCGCCAACCAAGCACGAGGTCAGGGGTTCGATTCTCAACAGACACACTCCTAAACCATCGCCTAGCCGGCAGTAAAGTTGGGCATGAGGCAAGCAATCTAACCCCGTGAAAATTAAACACCAATGCTACAGAATCTCAAAAGCTCCAGCTTGAGGCCCTATATGTTCCACTCGGAACACAAAGGAATGAAAAACAATCGTAGAAGTACTCCATTTTATAGATGCTGAATGTCAAACTTAGTCTTCCACTGGGAGAATATGACACGTTTTAGTCAATGGGTGGTCCCGTGTTCGAGTCCCACTCTGCCTACTCCAGACTACACAATTGGTTGATATAATCAGCCCTCTTATACAATAAGTGTAGCTCTTAGCCTGACTGGCACATGACACATCTGTTCCGGCTGCTAATTATACTTAAACGTAAACATAAACATAGTGTGTAATTCCATATTAGTTTGTTAATTACATAGATCACAGAGTGATCGATTATCATAAACAAACGAATATGAAAATCATATGTTACTGAGGAAGTTGTATACCTTATTTAAGTATACATTTACTTTATTTGAAGTTACTTGTTTTCGCGGTGGTGGTTGCGGTGGTGGTGTACAACAGTGAAATGTCCAAGACGCATATTTCCGTGTATTCAACACTCATCGGTTGGATGCACGTGTGTGCTTGTGAAACTATGGCGCATTATTGATATATAGGCACTCGACTTCCAACCAGCAGGCCACAAGTTCGAACCCCGATCTATGCAAGCACTGAGGTTTGAGTAGACTCAGGTGAGTATATCACTAGTCTTCTTCACACATTATATGTGGAATTCCAGGTTGTTGTTAAGTAAACGATGGCTATTGGGTTCAAGGCCCAGTGGACATATATGATTACTCACTGGGGAATGTAGGTATATCCTCGTGACAAGGGAATAAACAGGACAACCACGTTCCAAATAGCACACAAAGGTAGACAAGAAAATGAGTGAAGAGAATCAATAGAGTTCTGACAAGTATAAGAGTGAATGAAACAGAATGAGTAATGGTAGAAAGAAATATGAAAGATTACAGAGACTGAATACATCTGTATAAGCCATTGACAACGATTTTGAGCCATGTCACCTATGGTCTCCAGCCTTCATTGATTCTTAGAGTCCCGAGGGCGGGCCCCAACCCGGAAGTCTGCATCTCCCTACCTGACTCAGTTTAACTGTCAAGGATTTGATGGATTGATGAGGCCATGTTTTTGTTTGACCACCACTTACTCTTTTCCAACCTGCACCTATATCAGCTAGTAATGCCCGTCCGTCAGGGGCAGGGAGGCGATGGTTTGGCATGAGCAGCACGTGACCTAGCCATCTCAATCTATGGAACTTTATAGCCTCTTCGAGTGATTTTCCCTCTTTGCACAACCAACACTCTACGCCTAACGTCAACATTACTTACCTTATTATGCCACCTAACGTGAGAAAGAGATCGTAGACATCTATGATCAAGAACAGTCAACCTTTTCATGTCTTCAACTCGTATTGGCCATGTTTCAGAGGCATAGAGAAGGAAGGAGCGAACTTCTGAGTGGTACACACGTCCCTTGGTTGATAGCCGGATGTCACGCCTACGCTAGAGATGGTGTAAGTTAGCGAAAGCAGCTCGAGCATTTTGGATCCGTGCTGAGATTTCGTCACGAATCAATCCGTTGATGCTGATACAACTTTCCCAATAGGTGAAGTGGTCAACATGTTCTATCACTTCACTCCCTATCACTATCACTAAGCTAGGAGTTGACGTAGTCCAGTCAGTCCTGTAGCAGCATCTTACATTTTACAGGGGTGAATCGCATGTCAAACATACGAAGATTGCTGGTCAAGGTGTTCAGAAGACTCTGCATTTTGTCAGCGTCCTCCCCTAACAGGACTATGTCGTCTGCATATTCTAAGTCCATAAGACTATTCCCTGGTAACAAGTCGATTCCTAAGTCGTTAAGTTCAGTTAAGGATACTTCCATTAGCATATCTATGATGAAGTTAAACAGAAAAGGGGAAAGTGGACATCCTTGACGGACACCACTGGTTGTTATCAATTCAGATGTCAATTCCCCATAGGCCCTTACACGGCTACGTAAGTTTGAGTAGAGTGTCTTGATTAGTGCAATGTACTTTCTTGGCACTCCCTTCACAGTTAAACATTGCCATAGTACCTTTCGATCCCCGGAGTCGAAGGCCGCCTTCAAGTCAAGAAATATGACAATTGTTGGACGCCTAAAAGTGTGTCTATGTTCTAGGACCTGTCGGAGAGTGAAAATATGATCTATGCAACAGCAACAACAACAACAACAGACAACAATCAGCATAAATAGGAGACATATGAAAGAAACCCACTTCACTTACCTACCTCGGAAGCATCGTTTCAACTACAGGCGGACGGAACTGATGAGGATATCAAGGCAGCGAGGATTGAGAAAGCAAGGCAAGCTTTTATTACCCTCAAGTCTGTGTGCAGATCAACAGCACTACTCAGCATCAAAAATAAGATCCGGATTTTCAACTCCAATGTGGAGTCAGAGCTACTTACCATATGGATCAGAGACTTGGCGAATCAGGAAGGGCACTTCGAACAAACTACAGACCTTCATCAACAACTGTCTTCGCTCAATACTACTCAAGATCAGATGGCCAGAAAAGATCAGCAATAGGGAGGGATCTCTGAAAGAGAATCAACCCAGCAAGAACCGATTGTGCAGCAAATATGCAGGGAGAAATGGAGGTGGACCGGTCATACATACTCTGGGAAAACAAACCACCAAGTGACATGACACGCCACACCAACACTCGAGTGGAACCCAAATGGAAAGTGGCGAGTTGGTTATCAATGCGAGGGTGACATGGAGGAAGCCATGCAGAGAGGAGATGAAAGCATGTGGGCAGTCATGGATCCAGGTGAAAACGTTGGCAAAGAACCGAATACAATAGAGACGTGGACGGCTGAAGCCCTATGTTCCTCTAGGAACTAAAGGAGATAATAATAATAGCAATAATAATACCACTTGGTCTTTTCCAACCTGATCCTTTGTCAGTCAGCTAACATCAAAGGGGAAAATTAACAATCCAATTAGACAAATAATTGGCCACGGTTTAGTTTACTCACTGTTATTTAATATCACATACCGCACATTACCATACTTCCTAAACACACTCGGTCGGTCGGTCGGTTTTCGACATAGAACTTTGCACATATGTGCGCCAGTTCAAGTCAACACACTCCCGCCTTGTAGCACACAAACCAAGAGAAGAAAGTAGGAGAAATGCATATTAGAGACAGTAAACAGAGGTGTGAGACAAAGGAATAGTAATAACGAAGAACAAAACAGTTTAGTCGGAAATCATAAGTCACAAGGAGTGGATGTATCTGCATTAGCCATTGAGAACGATTTTCAGCCATATCACCAATTTCTGTTTCCAACCATTGGTTTTTATCGTCCCGAGGACCCCAACCAGTCAGGAAGTCTACAACTTCCTGGTGAAGCCATTTTGGTTTGACCACCTCTAGCTCTTTCCCAGCCTGACCCTATATCAGCTAACATTGCCCCTTGTCGAGGAAGGCGATGACTAGGCATACGCAACACATGTCCTAACCATCTCAGTCGATGTAATTTCACAGCCTCGTCGATTGATTTCCCCTCCTTACCTAGCACTCGACTGAAGCCTAACCTCAATATTGCTCACCTTATTATACCACTTCACACGGGAGATAGAAAGCAGACACCTATGATCAAAGACAGCTAACCTTTTCATGTCTTCCACTCTCAATGGCCAGGTTTCACAGCCATAATGGAGGACGGAGAGGACTGATGAGCAGTACACACGCCCTTTGGTCGATAGTCGGATATCACGTCTACGTCTAAACACACTTGGAATAGAGGACCAAGAAAAGAAGAAATGAATTTTCTATTTTGAAAAGTGTACCCATAGCAAAGCATGTAGAATAAAAGCAAAAAGGAAGGAAGGACTTACCATCACATTGAAAAGGTGTTCAGGAACTATCGTGAAATACCGTTCATATCTAGTCATAATTTCAAAATACTGTAATTGTAACACTTCATGCGGTAGACGAGAGAATACATCAGTGCATAGAATCGACATAATCTCAATCATATTTTGATGCAATGGGAAAGTTTGACTGAAATGATCATTTCTACTAGCCTACAAAATAAGTAAAAGTAAACATAGAAGATATTCTTTTTTAAAATAAAACAGTTAAGTAGACGAAATCAATTTATTTTCACTTTTTTGCATTTCCAGGTGATGTGAGTAAGGGAGAGTGATGCTCAGGAAGGCTTAGTGTGCTTTTGGAAGTGTGTGGGCGGTTGTTACTTCCCGGCTACCCACACCGTGGAAGTTGGTTGAGTCTTCGGGTACCTGAAATAGATTAAAGGTTAGTGTTGCGTGACCGCAGAGCCCAGGGGACAACTGCTTGAGGCCAGCCGGTCACACGCGGCCTGTTTTTGTTTCTTCTTTCTTGTTTGGTGTGTCTCAGTAGCATATTTATCACTTCTGCCCTGTGACACGGCAGCAGGAAGCCCCGACCGATCCGACATGACATTTTGTGGATTTGTTTGAATCATAGTATTGGATTGGGTAGCTGCTTTTTGTCTAACCGCTATCCAAACAGCCTTTCTGGCATGGTAGGACCTACAGGAACATAAGTTCCAGCCAGTGTAGCTCGTTGGGTCATTGCGATATGCAAGCCCGACCACCACGTCAAGGCAGCAGCTACCGGTCGGGCATTTCTGGGGGAGGGGTGGAATACACGGTTTCAAGTTTTGACATTTCAGTATAGTTGGTAATATCGTTTGCATTATGGGAATAAGGTGGTTACTAGCCTCACGCCTAATCTTTCCTCTTCTCCAAGAATACTACTGTAACCGTAGAAATTTGAGAGACTTCGTAAAGGAATGCCTTATTTGAAATTCGATATCTCCCATACAGCGAAATTATGTATACCTTATCTTATCTTCAAGTCACCATTTGCACAGACCTTCGTGTTGTGGTACTTCTGGCCTTCACATTATGTTTCTTTGTGTTACTTTCATATCTCCCATTTTTTTCCGAAACGCTGTAGTATCATTTGCTTTCTCTGACGTCAAGTCTATCTCCCTGTTATTTGATGTGTTTTATGCTGATGAACGTCTCTTTATGTACTACTGATAAATCTTAGTAGTGGCACACGCTACAATACAAGTGAGGCTTAGGAAATACGTCGAATTGGGGGTCGGATCAGGACTAAGTGAGTGGACGGTAAGCATTCTACTACTAAAAAATTACAGTCGTTTAAAAGCTTGACAAACACACACACACACACGCCAAGAAGGCCGAATCCAATGGCTTCGATGCCAATTGTGTACAGGTTTGAAGACTGTGTCCTGGCCAAGAGTGAAGGCACCCTGGAGATCAAAAGTGAAGGAAGTGAAATATGAATCAGGGACCTCTCACTGTGCAGAGTCGAATGCCCTACCACACTAAGCAAAATTATGTATGCATGTGTAATTTTACTAACAGTTTAACGTTTGTGTCATACAAACCTCTAGATTACCTGAAGATGTCTACGATATAAGCGATAAGTTAGTCACCTTTCATCAAACAGGTGACCTCTTCCCATATCTAATACATTTTGATCAAAGTAGATCTTTAATTTAGACGGAAGAAGCATGGCATTCAAGTGTGAGTCAGTGATTCAGTGGAAGAATACACGCCAGGCACGCAGGAGGTTTGAAATTGATTCCCGACCAACGGAATCTGAAACCCCACTAAGTTTTTCTAACCGGTAGGAAGTCCGGAAAAGAGAGAAGGCCAATGATGGGCTTGACACTAACAGTACCCACCCCCTTCTTCCCACAGAACAAACCGACACCATAGCTACTAAAACTTCAGCGCTTGAAAAATAGCATTTAAGTGCAAATGCGATCAACAAACAAGTTGAATCAATCACTATTTACAAAGTTTAATAGATCAAAAAGCAACCAGAAATGTTATACTTTGGCGGTTCGGGGTCGCATGTAAGGGAGGTTGGGGGACACAATGCGAGTGGAAAATAGGCTTTCAACAGCAAATGTCCATTCCACCCTGTTCTCCGCAGTCCTCTTCAGATGGCTCTACGATTGCTCATTAGCTTTCATCTTTTTCTTCTCCCCCCCCCTAAGACGATCTCCTCCTGGATGACACCCTCCAAATGAAGCTCAACAGATCGTCTCCTATTTGGGTTGCATTCGATAGCCTAGAGAACGATGTCACTCAACAGTCTCTTCCTCCGTGTGTATGTGTGTGTATGTGTTCGATTCATCTTCACTTTTTTCTTCGGTATATTCGACGGATAATAGGTTTTTGGTTGCTTCATTGCACTGAAGAGTTCCTTGGTGCTGACACTTTCTCCGACAGACTAAGAGATCTTCAGAGTATGGAAACAGCGAAGACAGTTGTTCATGAAAGTTTGAGGTGGTCTGTCGGTAACAGAGTTTGGTAACCTGAATCTTTTTCTTTAGACTGAGACTCCACACTACTGGTTTCACAATAATGAAGGTCTGCCATACTTTTCCAACTGTGTCTGGGCTTAAACATCCTCATTTGTGCCTCTTGTAGTTGAAACGATGCTGTTGTCTAGATGGTAAGTGAAAGAAGTGACTTCTTTCAAATTTCCTCCACTTGATGCTGATTGCCTGTCTGTTTGTCTGTATTCGACATAGAACTTTGCACATATGTGCCACAGTTCAAGTCACCACACTCCCTCCATGTAGCACACAAAGCAACAGAAGAAAGTAGGAGAAATGCATATTAGAGACAGTAAACATGTCAACAATTGTTTCCAACGATTGGATTTTACCGTCCCGAGGCCCCGAACCAGTCAGGAAGCCAGTCTACACCTTCCTACGTGGCCGGCTTAGACTAACTCTTGTAGATTTCATTGACTGGTACCATGTTTTCGTTTGACCGCCGCTAGCCTGACCGTATGTTAGTCAGCTAGCATTGCCCATCAGTCGAGGAAGGCGATGACTACTCATGCATACGTAACACATGTCCTAACCATCTCAGTCGATGTAATTTCACAGTCTCGTCGATTGATTTCCCCTCCTTACCTAGCACTCGACCGAAGCCTAACCTCAATATTGCTCACCTCAGTATACATACCACTTCACACGGGAGATAGAACGCAGACACCTATGATCGAAGACAGCTAATCTTTTCATGTCTTCTGCTCTCAATGGCCAGGTCTCACAGCCAGCCATAATGGAGGATGGAGCAGTACACACGCCATTTGGTCGATAGTCGGATATCACTTCTACGCCAGAGACGGCGTAAACTGGCATATGCGAAACTAGCCCTCTATATCCGTGCTGAGATTTCGTCAGAGATCAGCCCGTTGGCACTGGCTGATGGTACTTCCCAAGTAAGTGAAGCGGTCAAGGTGCTCTATCCCTTCACTTCCTATTTCTAATCCAGGGGTCGGTGTAGTCCAATCCTGCAACATCACCTTACATTTCACAGGGGCCAGTCGCATGCCAAACATACGAAGATTGCTGCTCAAGGTGTTCAGTAGACTCTGCATGGTGTTTGGATAAACAGTCAGTCTTTTTATATTGTCTTAACGGTGCAGCTAATCAAAAATATTAATGAGGGAGAACTGATCAAGAAGGACAGAATAAACTAAACGTTAAAATGCTCTTTTCGTTCAACAGAATAGATATACTTCATGTTCTTGAAAATCCCAAAAAACCACAGGATATAAACTGGTGTTCTCTTCGCTTTCGGATTCAACAGATATGTATGTGTATAGCACGATCCCGCATGATAGTGTGCTGGAATCAGGATCACATCAGATGATCAGAGTTGGAGGGACAATGTTCAATTCATGTTTTATAACCACACAATTATAACGTTTGAAAATCATTATGGCAAAAGACACCATTACAGGTAGACTCTACACACACACACACAAACACGCACAAATAGGTAATAACAGTGAGAAACACATACCTTACAATTTTCTCCAAATAAGTAGAATAAATTTAAAGTTACATCAATTTGTTGTAAATTTTCTGAAGTAAGCGGAATATTTTTCACAGCGCATGAGCTTAGTGCATGATGAGAATGTCTGACTAGTTGATGAATAGTATCCAATACAAATCTGCTATCTAATTGAGTAATATTGCCAATTAGTGTGCGCAGATCATGACGATATTCTTCGTATTCACTCTTCAAAAGAAAAAAAGAAAAAAAAAGTAACAAATTAACTCCCCATTAAAATAACTCTTAAAAATTAATCTGATTCTCGATATCTGACTGGCCACACGACGAAGTTGCCCGGAGCTATAGTCAGACGCCGTGGCATAGCGGTCAGGATGCTCGCCAACCATGCACATGGTCCGGGGTTCGATCCCCGGCCACCGACGCACTCCTTTACCTCGCTAAGCCAGAAATAATGCTGGTAAAGAGGAAAGGTTGGGCATGAGGCTAGCAACCCCATCCTGTAAAATAAACGCTGCTACAGAAACTTCAAGCCACTAGCTTGATGGTGCCCTATGTTCCACTGGGGAACGTGAAGGAAAAAAAATAGTCAGACGCCATGATCAGTGGGGTCAACCAGATCGGGGGTGGTGATCGCTGATGACAGTGGCTGGAGGCTAAGCTAAAATTATGAATTGGACCAATTGGATAGAGTCTCTGTGGGTGCGTACTGATGAAGAGTCTCAAACTAGGACGAAGACAACTGTCCAGTACTCCTTGATGATCGGCTTTCAATGGCTCTCTAATCCGTGACCAAACTTGGACCAAACTATATGAGAGACAATAAGAAATGCACTCACATATACAAATGAATTGCATGGTGTCACTTAAACCTGATAAGGAAGTATGAGAAATGTTAATGTGCGCAAATGGATTGGGGGAAGAATAGTAACTTGGGGGAGGAACACGAGGATTTCATCTGTCTGGGAGACTACAAAAAGTGAGTAAATCTGTGTCAGTCAAGACGATTTTGAACCATATCTTAATGTCCCCCGGGGACCCCGTCCAAGCAGTTTATACCTTACACCTATATGATTCAAAACAACAGTCAAGGACTTCATGAATTGATGCCAGGTTTTGATGTGGCCACCCCTAATTCTTTTCCAACCTAATCCTATGTCGGCTCATTACAGAAGACAGTGGTATGGCATGAGTAAGCCATGTCCTAGCCATCTCAACCGATATGGCTTCACAACGTCATCGATTATAACATGCCCACCACCAACTCTCACCTAACACTCCACACCGAACCTCAATAATGCTCACTATATATTATACCACTTAACACACACACGGGAGATAGAACACAGGCGCCTACGATCAAAGACAGCTAGCTGGCCTTTTCATATCTGCCATTTTCAACAGCCACATTCCACAGTCATAAAGGAGAATAGAGACAACTAATATGGTCAACAGCCAGTCGAATATCAAGTGTACACACCAGAGATGACGTAATTCGGCGAATTCCACACATGCCTTTAGTATCCGCAATCAATACGCATTACAAGGATGAATAGGTTGAATATAAAATTGGCAATACAATTTTACCAACCCATCTTGTGAGACAGAAATATTTTATATTTCAAATTCTTCTTTTATTATTTAGGCACTCATTATTATTATTCCTGGGAGTACTGGACAACTGTTTCGTCTTAGTTTGGGACTCTTCAGCAGTATGCACCCACCGGGATTCGAACCCAGGACCTTCTGGTTACAAGCTCGTCTTGTCCTGGGTTCTCTAACTGATGTCAGCTCATGATGAAATCCTCCATGCAATCAAACAAAATCCCTACAAAACCAATACTTGAATATTATTATTCCCTTGCGTTCCGAGCGGAACATAGGGCTGGCTTCAACAACACATCTCCATTTTGTTCTGTTTTGTGCAGTCCCCTTCATCCGGGTCCACGACTGCCCACAATCTCTCATCTCCTCCCCCCGAACGATCCCCTCTATATCATCCTCACACTGACCACCCACCCACCCACTCGTCGCTTCCCATTGGGATTCCACTCGAGCAATGACCTCGCGGCGTATGGTGTCATTCGGCGGCCTCCTCAATAAAATACCCGATCCATTTTCACTTTCTCCTACATATTTATTGAGTGATCAGCTAGCTCTCACCCGTTTGTTTTATTTCCATAGTTTCTTGTTGCTTATTGTTTCTGGCGAATTGATGATCTTCAGTATGTGGAGCCGGCGGCGAAAGCAGCTGTTGATGAAAGTCTGCAATGCCAAGTTTCTCACCCGTATATACAGAAAAAGCGTTTTCACATTGGTGTTGAAAATATCCTAATCTTGTCCCTTATGCTGGCTGAGTGCGGAAGATTTCCAAACTGTTTAAAACTTAGGTTACTAATAACCTCCATCAAGATATTCCCATATAATCTACCTTGTTCAGTTTGTTTTAATCTATTAAAATATGACCTCTAGTGATATCATTTACTCTCGCGAATATTTAAATCGTTTACAGCCTGCTGATTTGTACGTTTGTTTCTACTAAACTTGAGAAAAAGCATAATCGTCAGGTAGGTAGCAACACGTATCGTACGTAATATATATATGAGATAACTATTGTTCTCTTCAGTTGTGTCCTTGCCACTTAAAATGTACTACTCCTGCAATTTTTATTCTAATTTGACATTCGCAACCATCAAATGTTGTGTATTTTCACGAAGGAGACAAGGAATAAATGTATCAAAATGGATTAGTTTACACTTTCGGTCAGGCAGGCAACACAGTGTCACATGATCTGTAGTCAACAATTAATACTTCTTATTTAAAGATCCTAGACGCAGAGGAAATATCATGCAGTAAACTCTATTGACGGCGAGAAACACATTCATCAACCTGAAACCACTCTGGAAATCTTCGTCACTCAGCCTGCATCAACAACAAAATTCGGATTTTCAATACAAACGTCAAGTGAGTTCTTATATACGAATCAGAAACTTGGCCAATGTGTCACAAAGAATATTTCCAACAGCCTGTTGCAGACCTTTATCAACAACTGTCTTCACCCTATACTGAAGATCAGATGGCCGGAAAGAATCACCAACAAGAGACTATGGGAACGAACAAAACAAGAACCAATCGCCCAACAAATATGCAGGAGAAAGTGGAGATCGATTGGACACTCGCTGAGAAGGCCGCTGGGTGACATCGCGCGTCAGGCCAGTGCTCGAGTGGAACCCGAAAGGGAAGCGGCGAGTGGGACGTCAGTGCAAGGGTGACATGGAGGAGATCGTGTGTAGAGGAGTTGAAACAGTATGGAATAACATGGATGCAGGTGAAAAGTACAGCAGAAGACAGAAACAAGAGGGACGTGCACTTGAAGACATATGTTCCACTAGGAACCCAAGGGAACAATAATAAATACCATTCCCTAGCCTAATGTGTTTCGGTTAAGTGGGAATAAACGACTAGGCAAGTTATCAAGCGTTCACATTATCATCAGGTCAGTAACGTGTGTCTTTTATCACATCACACTCAAGGACACCATAAAACAAAACTGCACAATGATCAACAACACACACAAAACAAGGCCTTACTTCATCGTCTTCTTGATCTGCACAAATCGGTAGACACTTCATTTTATCCACACAAGCGTATAACAGACGTTTAACAAAAAATGATCTTAACTCATTGATTTCTAAATGACCAGAAATTGGAGTGTTAATAATGCCAGTAGAACTTGACAGTGTTGTTGTTGTTGTTGGTTCCATTGAAGCAGAACTATTACGATTACGCTGGCGACGTCCACTTGGTGAGATCATACTGTTTTCTGAGGAGGGATTGACAACACTTTTTAACAGGCTTAAATACGCACGAACAAATGTCAGCACAGCTTGACTAACTTGACTTTCTTTATGCTCGAATAGACGTAGGGCGATATTTAATCGATCTTCTAAAGTTTCTAATGCTATTGGTAAGAATGCAGTTGTATCAGAATTGGATTGAAATTGACTATTGGTGGTTTGATTACAATTTGTGACTGATAGAACACTTGCATCATATAAATTTCTATTAGAATACAATAAAAAGAAGAGAGAAAAATAAAAAAGAATTAAAGTCATCATGCGGTGAAGTAGGCGAATAACTTAAACTGAATTTTAGCTTTCCCCGTCGATTGATTGAACAGAAGTGCGCGGTTTCGGGATGACACGTCAGCTTCTTGTGCAGATGCTTCGACAATGTCTGGGCATGTAATCAACGGGGGAATCTAAAATTCAATTAAATAATCAATATAATCCGTTGCACAAGAGACAGTGGCTCTCGTTGCCCAAGTGGTCTAGGATGACAGTCTAGGGGAGATGGCTAAACCCTGATTCCAAACCTCCAACAACTGGCGTATGAAGATCACTGGAGCTCACCGGCAGACGTATGGACAAAGGGCTTGTTGGATGTCTTGGATGTCTGGCCCCATTCAAAAAGGCGTATGAACCGAACTCCGGTCACCGGCTGCCAATGGATAGTGGACTCCCTACTCCACTCCTACTGCCTTGTAGGTCACACTTGGTTGTGTAAAGGCTAGAGCTGCACTCTCAAACAAAAGGCCGAGCGATTTTGGGGACATCACTAGTACTAAATTCCCATGAAACTTCATGAACTCTCTTATTCGAGATGTTCATGAAGCCGGCTCATCCTCCCGTAGGAGATAGCCGAAGTAAAGTAAGTAAGTAAGTGGTCTAGTGGATAACGCTTTGGCATTTGACACTATGGCCACTGGGTTCGAGCTTCGGTGGGAACATTATCACTCACTGAGAAATGCAGGTACATCCACTAGCTGACGAGTCCCAAGTAGGACGAAATCCGGGATTCCACTGCTAGCCACCACCATCCACCAAGTAGGCGAATAACACTTGGAATCATTTGCGAACATTTGACATAGACGTCGTGTATCCTCTTAATAACTGCTCAAAACCAAAAAGCGTCAGCTCTTTTACCACTAAATACTGCAAAACTTATTTATTTAGAGTACTAACGTACAACCAGTGGTGAGTCAGGTCTTGGATATTGCACATGATTTATGTCTAATATCACAAAAATCTGAAGACTTGCAGGCGAAAACTAACAAAATGGCAGAAGACGCCGGCAGTGAAGGCAGGACTCCAGGTAAACATAGAGAAGACGGAGGTGATAAAGATAACCAACCAACAGCAGCAGCGACAACAAGCAGCACCAATCACTGTCAGTGGAGAGATTTGACAGAGGTTGCTTCCTCCACTTATCTTGGAACCATTGTTTCAACACCACAGCCGGTGGAACTCCTGAAGATGTCAAAGCCAGCCAGAATCAGAAAGGCACGATACACACCTTCATTAATCTTAAATCAGTTCGAAAATCTTCTGCATTCACCCTAAAGAACAAGATGCGGATTCTCAACACTTCTTCTTCCATATAGATCAGAAACTTGTACTATGCATCAAGAAAAGCATTTCCAACAGGCGGCTTCAGACTTTTTTATCAACAGAGCTATCTTCGCCCCGTATTGAAAATGAAGTAGGCAGAAAGAGTTAGCGACAAGAAACTATGGGAACAAGAGACTATCGGTCGGTCGGTCGGTTTTCGACATAGAACTTTGCACATATCTGCGGCAGTTCAAGTCGCCACACTCCCTCCATGTAGCACACAAAGAAAGAGAAGAAAGTAGGAGAAATGCATAATATAGCCAGTAAACAGAGGTGTGAGACAAAGGAATAGTAATAACGGAGAACAAAACAGTTTAACTGGAAATCATAAGTCACAAGGAGTGGATGCATCGACACTAGCCATTGAGAACGATGAATTTGAGCCATGTCACCAATTGTTTCCAACCATTGGCTTTTACCGTCCCGAGGACCCCAACCAGTCAGGAAGTCTACATCTTCCTACGTGGCCGGCTTAGACTAACTCTTGTAGATTTCATTGACTGGTGCCATGTTTTTGTTTGACCGCCGCTAGCTCTTTTCCAGTCTGACCCTATATCAGCTAACATTGCCCGTCAGTCGAGGAAGGCGATGACTACTCAAGCATACGTAACACATGTCCTAACCATCTCAGTCGATGTAGCTTCACAGTCTCGTCGATGGATTTCCCCTCCTTCCCTAGCGCTCGACCGATGCCTAACCTCAATATTGCTCACCTCAGTATATATACCACTTCACACGGGAGATAGAACGCAGACACCTATGATCAAAGACAGCTCATCTTTTCATGTATTCCACTGTCAATGGCCAGGTCTCCCACCTAGCCATAAAGGAGGACGGAGCGGACTGCTAAGCAGTACATCCACTCAGAACGTAAAGAAGATTGAAAAGCAGACACATTTTCTTCGTTCAATCCTTAAGAGTTTGTATAGCGAGTAGCTGGATCAGCTGAAAACAAGGGTTACACACAAAAAACTGCGTACACAATCAAGGTATGCCATAAAAAGCCCAATAACAATGTGACGAATGAGCAATAACAAATAATCATAATCATAGTAATAATAATAACAAGAGAAAGTTAAACGTTTCAATCAAATTACCTGTACACAGATATTAATTGTATCCCCATTGCATCGATTAGATTGGCAAGTGTAGTTAACGCTTCCAATTGATCATCATTTAAATCTTCATTGTCATGCCTTTCTGCATTATTATTATGATTCATTGAAGCCGCCGTAGAAGACATCATAATAATACTTGGATCACCGCCGATAATTAACACTGAACCCAATTGTTCCCAAATACCAGTAAGTAATCTTAGTTTATCAATTACTGGCATACCTTTATTCACAAAGCCTATCAGACAGGAGTATACACCGCAACGAATAATTGCATTTGATGAATTATTATTATTACTATCATTATTATTGCTATGATTATTATTGTGGTGATGGTGAGTGTTATCAAGTGATAATTGTAGTAATCGATGCATCAATGTAATCCATTCTGCATTGGCTAACAGTGATAAATCCACCCAAGAGGCGTATAAACCGATTGTGTGGAGAATTTTTCGAATTAAGCAAGCATTCGACTGGTATGAATTGATAAAACGTTGCTGTAAAATAAATCATATCAGAGAATATAAGTTAAATCAAATTGTGAGCAGGAGAAGATGCAGAAATAAACACACTCAAATAACATTGAAGCATTGACTCGCGCAGGGATTTGATTGGCTACAGGATTTCGTTGGATCAGGTTTCAGTGGCCTAACAGTTTATGAGCTTACTTACTTTACTTTACTTCGGCTAACTCCTACGGGAGGATGAGCCGGCTTCATGAACATCTCGAATCATCGCTGCCCAGGCGCGGCGATCTGATGCAAGGTTTTGCGACAGGGTTATCCAATTCTTGTTCCACAGACGGAGTCCGCAGACGGTTTTTTTTTTTTTTTTCCATATCAGCCTTGACTGTACCAAGCCATGTTTTCAGCTGTCCACCCCTGCGACATCGCCAAGATGGTAATGGCGAGGGATTTAGAACTGATTTGACCAGATGGTCATCTGGTCGGCGCAGAACATGGCCAAACCACCGAAGGCGACGTTGTTGGACCAGTACTGGAATTTGGTTGATGTTGTAGCAACGACGAGAGTTCATGGAGTTTCATGGGAATTCGGTACGAGTGATGTCCCCAGAATCGCTCGGCCTTTTGTTTGAGAGTGCAGCTCTAGCCTTTACACAACCAAGTGTGACCTACAAGGCAGTAGGAGTGGAGTAGGGAGTCCACTATCCATTGGCAGCCGGTGACCGGAGTTCGGTTCATACGCCTTTTTGAATGGGGCCAGACATCCAGGACATCCAACAAGCCCTTTGTCCATACGTCTGCCGGTGAGCTCCAGTGAGCTTCATACGCCAGTCGTTGGAGGTTTGGAATCAGGGTTTAGCCATCTCCCCTAGACTGTTATCCAATGGACAGCCAACCCGGTGAAGAGCGCCGGGCATCCGCTTTCACCCTCTCACTTTGGTGAAAAACACCTCCGCCACGTGAAGGCAGTGAGTAGGACTTCCTCAGGAGAGGCTATGTAAGACGCCCGGTCATATGGGAGCATTTGAAGAGGTGTGCGGAGGGGTGGCCAACCCGCAGCGCAAGGCACCCACCCCGACCATCCTGAGGCTTACCTTGTAAACAAAGGGTGGTCCTAGGTTCCAAAGCTTGCAGTGGGTGCGTACTACTGAAGAGTCACAAACTAGGACGAAGTAGTGTGTGTATACCCTCAAAATTGACCAGTTCCAATGAACAAGTTTTGCTAGTCTGTGGCAGTAAATGTTCTTTCGTAGCCTGCCTCACATCTAGGCAAAAGGCGTCAGAGTTAGAGACATACAGTAGTAATGCATCATTATTGTTTCATACTTTGGTTAGAAGACACTAGTCAGTAACTAGTGGTATGATGCGTCTAGTCCTTGGGGTTGTTGATGCAGACTGAATTCTATCAGTGAAGATTGCAATGTGGTCGCCATTATGCTAGATGGTGGTGGTGGCGAGCCACCACCACGTTGCACTGTGAATTCTTGGAGGCAATCGACAGGAAGCCCTGATCATGATGATGAGACCTTGGTTTTGTGGTTGTTGGCACTCACCAGTAGTCAGTCAGAAAGGCGTATCTGCTACCTTGAAGGAACTCCTGTCCCTTTTGAGATTCGAACTCGTGTCAACCCACAATGGCTACATTACATACAAACTTGACTGATCGAATTCAGTCTGCGCCAAAGAAAGGGACTAGACGCATTACACTAGTGTCCAATCAAAGATCCTCAATCACTGACAACATTGCCAATTCATCTGGTGACTTTGGTTATTTTAGTTGGACACTAATTAGTTGGTTGGTTAGTTAGTGTCATGCACCTAGTCCTTTATTCGAGGCCAACAAGCACGAAACCTGGGGTTCAAGGCCTCCTGCCGATTGCCTCTAACCATCTAATAACTATGAATATTATTTTTGTATATATGACTTCCACCTTGTTATTCCACCAAAAAGCCGCCTTTCCTCCAAAACAAACAGTCACACACACACACACTGAGATATCCGGGTGATACACATAACCTCACTCACCAGAAGG